CAATCCACTCTTGTAGATATACAATATCTTCCCATACCTTGGATTCCTCCTAAGGGCTAACAAGCCTCTCCTTCGAAACAGAGATGAATTCCATGCTTTTGTACGAGTTACTTTTGTAGAGCACCTCAAAAACCTGGACAAAAATGACCAAAGAAGTTTTATTGATGCTTTCCTGGTTAAACAGCAGGAGGTAACTGAGCATTTTCTTGCTGATTCTGTCTTTTATGGTTCTATGAAGACATTTGCAATTTTCTTTCAGCCCTTACAATTACAGCTGAATTTCTTTAGGGAAGATGTCTTTGAGAAAATACATATGACAAAGTGGTAGACAAAGTATTAGAGTTGGACAGATACTTCACGCTGTTGAAGTTACAACCTCTTTTAGTTAGTGAACATTTATCCTTATTTATTTTGTTCAGACTGTAAAAATATATTCACCAAGGTTGTGTCTTTTTACCTGCTTTATCTTTTTATCTCTGTTGTCCCATCTCTTCTGGCTCTTTTGAAAGCATAATGCACTACAGAATGGAATCACTACCTTTAGGTAGCTTTAGGGCTTTACTGGGACTTATTTGGGGTCTCTGATATGTCTGGGTTTCCTTTCCCATGGGGAAGGCAGCTCCCTTTGCAGATGGTCCCAGTAAACACAAAGATATGTCAGCACTCTCCTCCAGGCACAAGCCCAAAGCTCTTCCTTGTCTTTCACACTTTTTCAAAGTGTAGGATTTATTTCTTAGCAAATGTTTATCTACATAGATTTCATTTTCACATGGAAAGCTTTGAGTTTTCATCCTTTTATCTCAACCACTTTTTTCAGGAGAAATCCACTACCAATGGGTATTTCCATAATGGCAACTTGCTAAGCTTGGTCAGCAACTTGTTTACTGCTGGTGTTGAGACAATTTCCACCACACTAAACTGGGGCTTTCTGCTGATGCTAAAGTACCCTGAAATCCAGAGTAAGTGGTTTAATGATAGATACTGTTGCACTCAGGGCATTAGGGACCAAACTGGAACCTGGAGGATCAACCTATCTGTTAACAGGCCAAGTTACAAGAAGCTGAAGTTTCCAGCCAATTATTGTCTCTGTGCCCTGTGGTTCAGTCCCAGTGAGGGTCACACTGGTCAGCCAGCAGCTGAGCACAGAGTTCATACAGGCCAGGCCCTTTGCTTAGGGAAATCTCATTAATTAATAAGAAATGAACTGTCCTGTGCTGGTCAATGGTTTTGTTCCAGGTTTCCCTCAGAAACTGTCAATAAACCAAATGCCTGTGCAGATGTTAAATGAACTGTACTGAGGCTTTAGACACCTGAGAAGATTCATGGAATTGCCCTTTGTCTGACATCTCCATTCCAGCTGATGGTACAGGGTTGTTCAGAGACAAGTGGGGGTTTTGAGACAACCCTTGGGCAGAACATGGATCTCTAAACAGAAGAGATGGCAGAAAAAAGTCTTTAGGTTTCTTGTTGGTAAAGAATCAATCAAACACTGTAGTCCCACTCACCTCCCATTATTTCTGAAAGGAAAAATAGATATTTTTTTTTTGAGAATTTCTGGTTTTTACTCCAGATGTATTATACTTAATATTAGTAAAGCACACTGTTTCTCAGGGGTGAATGAGTTCTTATATCTTAGAGTTGATTCTTTCTTCAGAAAAGGTCCAACAAGAGATAGAGCAAGTGATAGGGTCCAACCCCCCACGGATCGAGCACCGAGCTCAGATGCCATACACAGATGCTGTCATCCATGAAATTCAGAGGTTTGCCAATATCCTGCCACTGGATTTGCCCCATGAGACTGCTGCAGATGTCACCCTCAAAGGCTATTTCATTCCCAAGGTGAGATGCCTACAGGATTGCCTCTTTTAGCATTTCTTCTTTCTGAATTGGTTCAAGAATTCATTCCTCTGTCTTATTTTGCAGGGAACCTACATCATCCCTTTACTGACCTCAGTCCTGAAAGACCAGTCACAGTGGGAGAAACCAGACATGTTCTACCCTGAGCACTTCCTTGACGCCAATGGGAAATTTGTGAAGAAAGATGCTTTCATGCCTTTTTCAGCAGGTGCTTTCTCTTTTTCATTTACACAGAACACACAGCAAAGATGTTTCTGTGCATTTCCTGCTTCATTTTTCCACATCCCTTTTAAAAAGGCACAAAAAATGTTGCCTGAGTCAAGATTTCATCTAGCGTGACAACGAGGAGTTGCCATAGAAACCCCCACATTCCATGTAAAAGCAAAGAACTGAAGGGGCTTGCCTTTTGAGGCTTCCCCAGAGTGTGATATTCACCTGAATTTACACATCTGCACCATTTGCCAGATTCATGGGAGATTCCAACTCTGCTCCTTCTCTGGCATTTCTCCTGCTTTGCAGGCTCTGTAATTGCCCTTTATGTTTTCATACACCAGTCTCTAATTTATCTATGGGGTTTTTTTTGAGAATTTATGGTACTTCTATAGTCGAGGTTTTTATTAGTTCTGGCCTTAAGTCATCATGCTATGAAGAAACCAGTTTACTAGCTACTGGATTTGATAGAACTTATATTTTCAGCAGTTTTGAATATCCATAGAATATCTCCTCCACCTTGCTTCTCAGTTCCACTCTGGCCAGTATCAAGGAATTTGCTGACAAATGTTAGTATAAAAAATTGCCTATGAGTTAACTAATAGACCTAAAGTGTAGACTAAACCAGTTGGTTTGGTAGCCGAAAATTGAGCCAAGTAGAGGAAAAATGTGAAAATGGAGTAAAAATTCAGATTTTATTGAACACTGGAGTTAAGGAATTCAGACTACATTTCCATACATTTCTCTCCAAATGTGAGCATTTAGGTAAAGGAAAATAAAAGCCATCACCAGCTGGCTTTAGAATGATACCTCTCAAGATCAGAATTCCTCTCTCTCTGATAACTTGTACCAAACAGACTTAAAATCTATTGTGTTCTTTATTCATACCTAGGATATAACATTCAAAGGTTCTGGATTCCCACTGAACTTTTTCAGAGCAAGAGCTGATAAAATGAGCTTTTTTTCCTTCCAGTACTGAAGCAGCCCTCACTGATTTTCTTGTGGCCCTTTTCCATTTTGTTCCAGGGCGGAGGATCTGTGCTGGGGAGACTCTTGCCAAAATGGAGCTCTTCCTCTTCTTCACCAGTCTCCTGCAGAGGTTCAACTTCCACCCTCCACCTGGAGTTTCCAACTCAGACCTGGACCTCAGCCCTGCCATTTCATTTAATGTCATCCCCAAACCCTACAAAATGTGTGCTATACCACGTTCCTAGAGCTCTTAAGCTATTGTGTTTCTAAAATGTTTAAATCATTTTTCCATGACATCTGTCTTAATTCTTTGACCAAAACAATCCATATTTCAATTAAGGTTTCTAGTACTTCTAAACCAAAGTGGTTGAGAGAGGGCAGAAATGGACCAGAAGTGTGAAGTAATTGACAGCTCATGGATTAATCTCTTAGATCATCTAATCTTGACTAAATAATACAGACCTTCAGCTTTTTTATTCTTGTTGCCATTTTCATGGAGTGTTTGTTGAATACATATCCCAAAAAATGCTTCCAAGTCCAGGTTTTTCCCAAAAGACACAAGGACCACGAAGCTGTGCTTAGGATGTACACAGAGATAAATGTGGGATGTTCAGAGTTTCAGGCTGTCAGAACAGAAGGGCTGTTTGACCTTGGCAGTCAGCTGGGCTGGATACCCTGATGGTCCCAGTGCCTCAGTGCAGCTTCTTCACTTGGCTCTTCTCCCTACTCCTTTCTTTTCCATATACAAAGAAATCAGTTTGTATTTAGTGGAAAAACCTTAAGCCAAGTTGACCTGAATCCAGAGTTCATTGTGATTTTCCCCAAGTATTCATTAAATGGATAACCTCAGTAAATAAAAGCATACACACATGGGAAAATGTCTTACCTACTTAAAGCCAAGGTTTGTGATATTGAAGTTTCAGGTGCTCCCAGGTCAAATCACACAGCTTGGTCACAGTTCCACACACACAGATTGAGTGAACCTTCTGGAAGAGGCCTCAAGTCTTATCAAAACCAACAAACTGATCATTCTGCAAATTTGACCAAGAGTGTCCACCATCAAGTCGAGCTAAGACAACCTCCTAAATGTTTGGATTCATGTTCCCTGGTTCATATTGCCCTGTTTATATGTGCATGAAAACCCCAAAGTAACAACATCCACAGCCAGCCTATTATAAATCACCCAGTGGTGGTCAGGGAAAAAAAATTAAAGCAATTATGGATTTCCTCTGCAACTACCCAGAGCTGTAATGCAGAAGCTCATTCAGTTACTGTTTCAACTTCCTTGTGTGGAAGCTGAATCTGACTCCTACTCATTGCCTTTCTCCACACTTTCTTTCCATAATAAAAAATAATTAAAAAGGAAAAGGTATCCATGTGGTTCAGAAAGTTCAAAACCCACACAGTAAATCACCCTTAATGAAAGCAAAGGAGTGTACCTTCACTTAACCTTTTCCTGGCATGTAGGAAAACCTTTAACCCATACTCTGGATTAAATGATTTGGGGGAAATGGTTATATCAGTAAATGCTCCCCTTGCCAAGTAATCATAAATATGAGAAGTATTTCTAAATAACTATATTCCTTTTCCTGTGATTCAGTATAAAGCAAGTACTTAGTCTGGTTTTCCTGATCCTACATGGTTTAGGTAATCCTGTGAGGAGTAGAGAGCTGGACTCCGAGATCCTTACAGGTTTGTTCCAACTCAAGATATTCCATGATTCTAACTCCAGAGAAGCTTTCAAGCCCTCACAGAAGATAATTAGCTTTTGTCTCATAAAGAATAGCAGCAGCTTGTAAACAAGAAAAACAAGAGTTTATGAAGATAGTCAGTGTAAACAGCACTGCTATCTTCCAGCAGGTAATTTAACCTGAGAAAGTACTTTATGTTGTTTGATGTTGGTTTTTGTATTAAGTAATGAAAATGTTGGTATTTTGTATTAAGTAATGAAAATTACTTCTTCAACTGAGAGTTTATTTTGAAAATAGTAAGTTGAACAGGGGGTTTACAACTGAGTATTAGACAAGCTTATTTTTACCTGTTTTGGGTTTAAACTACCAGATAAAAACTACTTTGGTTAAAGACACTGCCTTCAGTGATTTACAGATATAGAAGTGCAAATACAATGGAATAGCTCCCTTATTCTGTAAAAAAAACCCAAATAACCCAGGATCCATTTGTTTCCCTTGCCCTAAGACAGGATAGACACGTCACCATTAGAAATCAGCACAGGTCAAAAAAAACCCCAATAAAACCTTGACAGATGACTGAAATCACTTGAGTCCCAAAATGTGTCCACAGATTTATAAACCAATGTTAACAGAAAATGTTTTAACAGAAATTCAGCAGTCACAACAGGAAGGCCATTAGGAAGAAAGCAGATTCTCAGAAACTCAGCATGGACACTCCACACATTTGGCTTCTCAAAGCAAATCCACCTTCTCATAGGTCTTCTCAATGAGGGTTAACAAGTTCTTCAAGTCAGCTGACTGCTGAATAGCATTCATATCATTTAAAAGGCCCTTCTGGTTCTTTACCTTCAAAATTTCCTCCTGAAGAATGACAGAATGATAGACAACAAATAAAAACCAGCTTTCATTGAGTGCAACAGGAATTTCACTTTAATGCAGCCCAGCTACAGCTAAAACAAAAGAGATTCAACGTCACAGAATGAGTCCCTCCTCCAGCAATTACAGATATATTTCAGAAATTACAAGTTCCCTAGGGCCATAGGGCTTCTAGGAAAAGACATGTGATGTTTTAAATAAGATCACAGAATGGTTTGGGTTGGAAGAGACTTTAAAGACCAGCTTGTTACAACCCTCTATGGGCAGTAACACCTCCCACAAGGTTACACTATCCCAAGTTGCTCAGAGCCCCATCCAACCTGGCCTTGAACACCTCCAGGGATGAGAAGTTTTTTAGGATTTTGTCCTGGTTTTAAAACATAAGCATATAGTTCTCAATGAAAAGAAAAAAAACATTAAAAAAGGAAAATGAAAACCTATTCAAATGTTCTGAATTTTCAGAATTGCTCCCTCTGGCAGAGGTTAAGGGATAAAAGCAATATCTTCTGCCTTCCTCCTCATAACGAAAATGTCTCTGAAAAGACAAATATATATTCCACATTCACCTGCAAAATGGGTGCCTGCAAACTGTGCTTAGGGAGTTCTGGGAGGTGGAGTGCTCCACTGTCATTTTCCTGGAATATCTAGAAAAAGAAGAAGAGAATGAAAAAACAATCCAAACCCCCAAATATCAGGCACACAAGTAGGAAAATAACCTGTCATTATCCAACTTCTGAAACCAAACTTCTTAATTCTGCAGCTGAAGTTGGAAAGATTAAGAAGATCCATTTCCAAAGGCAAATGAGGCCTTCCTTAAGCAACACTGCCTGAGAAACAGTTTGTTTGAGAAAGCTCTGGAAGTCTAGGTTATAGGAGTACACAAGTATTTATGAGAAATACCTTCCTGGCATCTTTTTCATCTTCCTTCAGCTGGTTCTTGAGCACCTGGATTTTGTACTTCAGCTGCTGTATATTTTCCTTAGTGCGCTCTGCTGATCGTTCTGCTTCAGTTATTTCTTCCTAAAACGAAACAGAAACAAAACCAGAAGAAAATTTACTTTAGAGATGGTGAGTCTTTCCCACAGACCACACTGAATCACTGAAAAAACATCCAAGAAGAGACAGAGCTTTGTAGCAAAGGTGGGTGGCAATGATGAACACTGGACATTCCTCCATAACAGCACAGGAACGGCCAGCAGTGTGGTAAAGGTAATTCCCACCCTTCCCTGCTTTTCATACCTGCAGTTGTACCAGAGACTCCTCATTTGTCTCAAGCATTTGCTTCTCTGCCATTTGAAGGCTCAGGATACTCTTCAGGTTGCCCAGCTCCCCTGGAGGCACCTTTAAAGACTTGAAACTTCTCAGTACCCTTTAATTACAGAAAATGGAAAGCAAGGTTTGTTTGGAGTTCTTTGCAAAGCAAAAAGAAAATTCTGGGGAAAACCTAATCTCACTTTAGTTTTAAATTTAATTGCTGCCAGTGAAGTAAAAGGTTGCAGAGAGAAAGAAAAACTGCCTTGAATTGTTTTCCAAAATCATGTGGAGTAGGAAGGAACCAGAAACAAGAAATCCCAATTTCTCATGTTTTCTATTGCACTGACCACCTCTGGTTTATATTCCATTGGCTTCTACATTCCCTGACTCTAAACTGACATTAATTAATATTTTCCCAGTCCTGACCCTTCTGCTTTTCAAATTAAGTTCCAAGAGGAGAATTTTTAACTGCTTCCAAATGATGATCATTTTAGTAAAACCTGCCTTCATGAAACATAATACATAGCTTTAAGTCAGAAAGAGAAAGTTTTAGCTCACCCTCAAGTGTGTACAAAACAACTGGGTAGAAGAATTCTCTTCTCTCCCTCATTTTTTTTAAATTTATAATTTCGTACCTTTTTTTCAGTACATTGAGGTGCTTCTGAACATCATCTTTTTTCTTCCTCTGCTGGGACAAAACAGATCTGGAAAGAAAATAAAGGCAGAATTTCCATCACAAAGTCTGCAAGCACAGAGAACACATCAAAAAACACACTGACTTGCAGTTCCAGTAATACTACGATTTTTACTTTATTCTTTGTGAAAACAAAGAATATTTGGAACTTACAGTACTACTGAATCCACTATATTTTCCAGGAACAGCCTACTGTTCTCTGAGAGAGGCCGCCAAGATCCTACTGTAGCACTGGACAGCTTCACCTTTTTTGAAGAACCATTTTCTCCTGTTATCACAAAGGAAAAAAGGGAAATGTATGACTTGTCAAATCCAGACAGACAGCTTTGTGACTCAATTCAGTCAGACTGGAGTCAAAGGTGTAAAACAGCTCAGATTTAACAGCAAAGAATAGGACCCTACCTGCAGGGGAATAGTCCTTGAATTCCTTAACTTCCCTTTTGACTTTCTGAGGGACCTGCTGAAGGGAAAAATTTACAGCATATGTGGCAATTTTGAGACATCCTCTGCACTGCAATCATTCATCTGCTCCCATGAACTCACTATGCCAGTGTCTGACAAAAGTCTTTGACATGACCACAAAAAAAAGCATCTTTATTGAAGACTTCTCAAAAGAGCTCTTCACACTGGGCATTTCCTCAAGAGGACTGTTCTTAATTAATGAATTATTCTCTATAAACTGCAATTCAAGAAAGTGGGAAAAAATACCTCTTTCCCCTCCCCCCCCACCCAGTTACTTTTCTACTTTGTTTGATCCAAAAAAACGAATACCTGTCTTTTTTGACCTTGTTTTCTTCCTTGTTCATCTGCTCCCTTTTTTTTGCTGGAAGGCCCTTGTTGATTTTGCGATTTAGAAGGATTTTTTGCTGATCTCCCACTGGTTGGTTTCCCCATTTTATTGGAAGATGTGTGGCGTGGTTTCATTATCTGTAAGCCAATGGGAACAGGAGGAAAAAAAAAGACAAAATTAAAATCCAGAAATTATAACCCATACAGTGCAAACCATACTTTAAAAAACAAAATTATAGAAATTGGGCTCAACCCAATAAGCCCCAAATGAGGCTAAAGGAGATGAAATGTCTGAATATTTGCTAACCTAGAACCCAAAGCCTGTAAATTTACCTAAATTTAGGACCACTAAAATAGCATCCCCACTTGGAAGATGTCTCTGCCCATGGCAGGGAGCTTGAAATAGAGATCCTTAAGGTCTCTTCCAACCCAAACCACTCTGTGATTCTATGATTTATCTTTTTAATTTTCAGTGCAGTCATCCAATTACCGGAATATTTTACCTTAGCATCTAAGCACGGTAACCCTGATCCAGTTTAAACTTACAGTTTCTGTCCTTAATTACTAGAGACAGAGGGAAAAGTGGTCACACAGAAGGGAGTAACCACAAACCCCACCATCCTTCTCAAAAGCACCACGACCCAGATTTATTCAGCTTTTCCCTCTCTCCCTCAGGCCACATTTTCCCTCACCCAGGTCCTGTCACTTTTCACCAGGCAACCGTCGAAATTGACACCAAATAAACCCCGGCCGGGCTAGTGAGGCCTAAAACAGGTAAATAAACCATATACCAGGCAAATAAGCTCCACACCAGATAAATAAGCCCTGAACCAAGTAAATAAGCCCTGCCAATCCCGTCCCCATAACTACCGATGTTGCGGGACAGCTTTCAGAGCGAACCGCAAAAACGGCATGGACTACAACACTACAACTCCCGGCATGCATCGCTCCCCCCGACGCCTAGAAACAGCACCCAGTCGCAGCGCATGCTGGGAGTTGTAGTCCTTCCCACCCAGACTCCCTCACAACCCCAAATGCCTACTCCCCCGGTGCTGCCGGATAGCATCGCGGATAACATCTCCACAAAACCCTTCCTCTCCTCCCGGTTCATCTCGCCTCAAGCCTCACCTTCCCAGCGCTGTCTCCACCTCCTCAGCGCTGCCGCCGGTCCCGCCTCAGCCCGCCGGGACGTTACTGAATAAACCCGCGCTCCCCGCAGCGCACGCGCAGCGCCTCTCCCGCCCACCGCGCGTGCGCAGGGGCCGCGCGCTGACGGAGGGGCCGGTGGCAGGTAATGGGGGGTGATCCCATCTCTGTCCTGATCCCGATTCCTTTCCATGTCCCTGTCCATGTTCGGGGCCCCGAACCCTGCCCCTGTCCATGTCCTTATCCCCTATTCCAGCTCCTGGCCCGGACCCGCTTCCCCATTGGCCGCCCGAGGGGCGTGTTGGGGGCGGGCTGTGGCGGCGGGCGCTGTCCCGGGACGGAGAGCGGAGCGTTCGTGTCAGGTGTGGGTGCTGAGGAGGGAGAGGTGCGGAGAGGGGCTGGCAGGGCGGCTCTGGGCTGCCCTCGGGGTGTGCTGGGAGATGGGCAGAGAAGAATTGCCTGGAACTGAACAAGGGTAAATGCAGCGTTCAGCACCGGGGCAGGAATAATCCTGGCGAGTTAGGAAGAGCAGTGCCAGCAGGAAGGGGATCCTGCCCCTCTGCTCAGCCCTGGGAGGCACATCTGGAGTGCTGTGTCCAGTTCTGGGCTCCTCAGGACCAGAGAGACCTGGAGCTCCTGGAATGGGTGCAGTGCCCAGTGACAAAGATGATGGAGGGACTGGAGCATCTCCCTGCCCAGGAAAGGCTGAGGGGGCTGGGGCTGTTCAGCCTCGAGGGGAGCCCCAGCTGAGAGGGGCCCTCATCCCTGTCTGTCCCTGTGAGCAGGGAGGGCTCAGAGCAGGGCCCAGGCTCTGCTCCAGAGGGATCCAGCAGTGGCACCAGAGGAATGGGCAGGGATTGATCCCAGCGAGTTCCACCTGAACAGGAGGCAGAACTTCTTCCCTGTGCAGTGACCGAGCACTGAACAGAGACCAGAGAGGGTATGGAGTCTCCTCACTGGAGATATTCCAGAACTGCCTGGACACTTGCCCATGCCCTGTGCTCTGGGATTGCCCTGCTTGAGCAGGGAGGTTGGATCACATGAGCCACTGTGGTCCCTTCCAGTCTAACCCGTCCTGTAACCCATACAGGTGTGTGGGCACAGGTTGCCTTCAATCCTGGTTGCAGCATCACATCCCCACAGGGCATGAGTTCTCCTCAGGAGCTCCTCTGCGCTCCTCAGGCTATAGGCATACCACATTACCATATATAGTATTAAAGCACATAGGTGTTGCTGCAAGTGATACAGGTGCTTTTCAGTTTTATGCAGAATTTCTTATAAAGGTGTCAGGAAAGTGTGTATTTCTTGGGAATTGTGAAAGAGATGAGGCAGTGAGGAGGTGACTGAACCTTGGAGCCAAGCTGTAAAAGTTTTGTTTTTGTAAAGAAGTGCAAGGATAGGGTGTGGAGAGCAGAAGCAAAGGAGCTTGCAGCTTTTAGGAGTTACTGAACTCACAGACTGGTTTGTGTTGGAAAGGACCTGGAAGATCATCTCATTCCAACCCCTGCCATGGACAGGGATATTTTCCACTATCCCAGGTTGCTCCAAGCTTCATCCAACCTGGCCTTGGCCTTCCAGGGATTGGGCAGCCACAGCTTCTCTGGGCAACCTGTGCCAGGGCCTCACCACCTTCAAAGGGAATTATTCACATTCTTGCCCCTAGCAGTCTCATGCATGGTGAGACAAGCTTGTATTGCAGCTTTGTATTGTCCCTGTGTTCTCACATACCATATTTTTTCTTCTCCTTTCTTTTTCAGCCTATCTCTAGTTTCCATCCAGCCCAAGCCATCTTTTCCAAAGTGTATGGTTATATCAGCAATTTTCTGACAGCTCACTTCCTGCAGAGCACCTCCTTGATGTTGGATATTGGGAAGAAATTCTTCCCTGTGAGGGTGATGAGGCCCTGGTACAGGTTGCCCACAGAAGCTGTAGCTGCCCCATCCCTGGAAAAGCATCGCTGTTTGACATTAAGGAATTCCTAGATGAGAGAGATGTGAAGGTGAGAGGGTAGCTGGCCATGCCATCTTCATGCCTCACGGTGGCTTTTCTGTGACTGATTAATGACGGTGATGCTGAGGGACTGAAATAATTTACACAGCTCAGATATGGATGCAGATAAGTTGAGGGAACTTTTTCTTTGGTTAGAGGAAAATGTAGGATTTTTCCTGAACTCTGTTCCTGGTTGAAAGGCAAGAGGAAGGGCTGTCTGTCAAATCAGTGTGTTATTAAGATGTTTCATTTTTCTTCTGAGGGATTGTTTTGGCTTTAGCAAACTGCTTTACATCTTCACATCTCCTATGCTAGGTGCATATGATAATGCAAAATATGTGTTTTTATTTTGTCCAGCTTGCCCCACACTGTGAGGAGAGCCATGCTGAGGGCCGGGGATGCCGTCCTGCGGCTGCAGCCGCGCTGCTGCGCACTCCTGGCCTGGCGCTCCCTGCACAGGCAGCCGCTGCACCCCGAGTGGGCTGCCCTGGCTCAGAAGCAGCTGAAAGGCAAGAACCCAAAGGATTTAATTTGGCACACCCCAGAGGGGATCGACATCAAGCCTTTATACTCCAAAAGGGACACAGAGGACTTCCCTGAGGAGCTGCCAGGGGTGAAGCCTTTCACTCGAGGGCCTTACCCCACCATGTACACGTACAGGCCGTGGACCATCCGCCAGTATGCTGGCTTCAGTACAGTGGAGGAGAGCAACAAGTTCTACAAGGACAACATCAAAGGTGGGGCAGCTGGTCTGGGAAACCACACTGCCTTGTGAAGCAAAGGGGGACATGAATTCAGTCAGTTACATGGCAAATGGGATTATTCTACACTGTGAGTTTGGATTTCTGATAAGGCCTTCCCAGTGGCACTCTTTATTACTGGGAAATTGGAAGTTCATTTCTGGAAGTGCCTTTGTTTCATTTTGCTGTGGAGAATGAATGTGTTAAATACTGCTTTTAGTTGTTGCACCTTTACACATAGACATAATTTGGATCCATCCCAGGATTCAAGCAGCTGAGGTCATGGAGCTGAAGCAGAAGTGGTAACCTGGGTTAGCTGGTAGCACAGCCCAGTCACTGGTCAGAGGAGGGAATGCCTGGGCACAGCAGAGTTTTGGGTTCTGCTTTCAGGTTGCAGCAACAAGAACTCTGGCCATTCTGTTCCCTGCTTCATATGAATAATTTTCTCTCCCTGCAGATTAACAAGTAACAACGTGTGTCAGCAGAGCCAGGGAACAGTGTGTGTTTAGTTTGTGATAAAGAGAAGGTAACATGACAGAGTTTATGACACTTCTGTTCCCAGCTAAGCCAACTAAGCCAAGCTGAGTTATGTGTATAAGCTCTTACACTGCCTGTCTAGGCATATTTATAATTTGTGGGTGAGCTGTTATTCAGTAATTTTTAAAGTAAGGACTACCTTTTTGGCTTTTTTTTTTCCCAGTTAAAAACTTTCATTTAAAGATTAAGACTACTAGACCTTAGACAGGTTTGGGGAGGGAACAGTGTTTAAATCAAAATTTAGTTTGCCATCCAAACCTGAATCAAGTAGGTTATGATTCAGACAATCCACGAGTTCGAGGAGATGTTGGAATGGCTGGAGTTGCCATCGACACAGTGGAAGACACCAAAATCCTTTTTGATGGAATTCCTTTGGAGAAAATGTCAGTTTCCATGACAATGAACGGGGCAGTCATTCCTGTGCTGGCTACATTCATTGTGACTGGAGAAGAGCAGGGAGTGCCTCAGGCCAAGCTGACAGGGACAATCCAAAATGACATCCTGAAGGAGTTCATGGTCAGAAATACCTACATTTTCCCCCCAGAACCATCCATGCGGATCATTGCTGACATCTTCCAGTACACCTCAAAGGTATTCATTGTTTATAACTTTTATTATTAGGTTAACTGTTTATGAGGCACTTTGGAGAACAAAGAAAAGATGGGAAGACGTCATAGAGAAGAGCATTGTGGTTGTGGAAAGGGCCAGTAGGAGAAGTTAAGATCCAATATCATTTATAATATAAATTTGAAGTTTGAGTCAGACCAGATCTGCAAGCACATCTTTGTAGAGATGGGTTGTATTTGCAGTCAACAAGGAATTCAGAGAATGGGCTGGAGCACCTCTGCCCTGGAGACAGGCTGAAAGAGGCTGTGGGTGTTCAGCCTGGAGAAGGCTCCAGGGGAACCTCACTGCAGCCTTTCAATCCCTAAGAGGGGTTTATAAAATAGATTAAGAGCAGTCTTTTACACCAGTAGTGACAACTTCTTACACAGATAGTGACAGGACAAGGAGGAACATTTTTAAACTAAAAGCATTTAGGTTGGATATTAGAAGAAATTCTTCCCTGTGCAGGTGTTGAGGCCCTGGCAGAGGTTCCCAGAGAAGCTGTGGTTGCCCCTGTAGCCCTGGAAGTGTCCAAGGCCAGGTTGGATGGGGCTTGGAGCAACCTGAGATAGTGGAAGATGTCCCTGCCCCTGGCAGAAGTTGTTGAAACTAGATGACCTTTAACTCCCTTTCAACTCAAACCATTCTGTTATTCTGTGTGAATGTTGATAGAAAAAATATTTGATTCTTCCCTCTGCTGTTATACCCTTTTGTATCTTGTTTTTGGCCTTTTTTTCAGCATATGCCAAAATTTAATTCCATTTCCATCAGTGGGTACCACATGCAAGAGGCAGGAGCTGACACCATCCTGGAATTAGCTTATACCATAGCAGATGGCTTGGAGTACTGCAGAACTGGGCTTAAAGCTGGCCTCACTATTGATGAATTTGCACCTAGGTGAGCTCAAGAAATTTGCAAATATAAAACTCACTTTTGGTAAAACTTCTATAGAGTTTAATACCAAATTCAGTATTTTTACACATACAAGCAAATAGGAACATTCCCATCAAATGTGAAAATATGTTAATCAGAGACATTGCTGTAGGGCCTCTCCATTACTGATCCAGAGTTATTAGAATGATTCAATGTTATGTTCTGTTCATGTTCTCCTATTTCAGGCTCTCTTTCTTCTGGGGAATTGGCATGAACTTCTATATGGAAATAGCAAAGCTGAGAGCTGGGAGGAGGCTGTGGGCTTACTTGATTGAGAAAATGTTTAAGCCCAAGGATTCCAAATCTCTTCTGCTGAGAGCTCATTGTCAGACTTCGGGCTGGTCACTCACTGAGCAGGTTAGAAATTGGACTCTCATCAACCTCCTTACTTAAAGGTGCTATCGTGGTACATGTCTTAAAGGGGGCTGCTGGTGTTACTCACAAAGGTGCAGCAGCTGTCCTCTCAGTCTGACAAATGTACACTGGCATTGGATACACCTTTATGTCTGTTCAGGACTCAGAGGATGAAGCTCTCTCTTGGATTTGTCCTGTGAGTTATTCTTCCAAATACAGTGCAGTCAGCAAGTAGTAGAGGCACTGTTTTCTCAGGATCACTGGCTTGAGAATTCATCTGAGCAATCAAAGGAGTCATTCACAGCCCTGATGCTCAGTGCTGAAGAGAGAAGTAATGGTTACAGCTCATCTGCTCCTTTGAAACTGGGTATACTCTGCTCTTTCTGCTGATTTACATTACAGCAAGGAGATAAATCATTGGAGTGCATACAGTTTCCCAAGTGAGGTCAGAGCTGGGTTCCAGCTCTGATCCCAAGGCCTGTTGCTCAAAGTCATGCAATGGGAGTTATTTTTAGGTTGTGATTGTAAGCATTGTTGACTTCTCTGCCTTGTTTTTTTTTTTTTTCTGTTTGTTTTTTGTTTTAATAAATTTAATGTTTACTTACATGACAACAACACAGTCAAACTAAAACAGTGGAATTTTCTGAACAGCGACCTCTGTGGGTCCTCCAACTAAAAAGTATTGTGGGAGTGAAAAAATGTTATTATTACCAAAACTATATTCAATTGTCTTCCAGTGTGCAGTGTAACTATATTTCTGGCTAGATCAAACTCTTTATTTTTTTCTAAACATTGTGGTTTATCTTAATATAGCTTCTCAGCGTGAAGTATTTTCTCCTTTTAAGTTTCAGAAAGCAAACATACTTAAGATGTCTTTTGATAGGTATCTACTCATAAATTATGTTTTACATTCTTATCCAAATCACAGTTTTCTATAATTACCTTATGTGATGTTGTCATTAATGAAAATATTAATTAATTAATATTAATTTATTAATAAATTAATCATTGTTATTTTAATAATTCGTGTATTATTATTTAATCTTAATATAATAGATTTTACATTATTGATATTTAATTATTTATTTATTATATATTAATAAACAATAATAATGTAATTAATGAAATATTTATTCCAATCTTTGGAACATTTAGTTCCAAAACACATCTTGACTAGTAATTTGTCTGCCACATGTACTGTTCACTGCCCCAAGAATTCTGGATTTGGAGCATGGAAGACATCAGGTCTACTGTTCCATCCTCTATGATTTGGATTCACTAAATTCTTTGAAATACCACCAAATATAAATTAGGCTTTGATTTGTTACTGTGAGCAGTTTACTCGCAGAGTGATCATTTTGGCTTTCTTTATGGATTAATCTCTTTTCATAAGATATCGACAAGTGATAAATCCATTTGATTTAGGTTTCTTTCAGCTTTTTGTTCTGATTACAGTCTTTCAGTGGGGAATGTTGCATGTGTTTCTTTGCAATAATGACTAACCTGCCTCAGCCCCGTGGCAGAACCACTGAGCTTCAGAGCTCCACTTTTCCTTCCAGGATCCCTTCAACAACGTCATCCGCACCACCATCGAAGCCATGGCTGCGGTGTTTGGAGGGACGCAGTCTTTGCACACCAATTCCTTTGATGAAGCCTTGGGGCTGCCCACAGTGAAGAGTGCTCGCATTGCCCGGAACACACAGATCATAATCCAGGAGGAATCAGGGATTCCCAAAGTGGCAGATCCCTGGGGGGGATCTTACCTCATGGAGTGCCTCACCAATGATGTCTATGAAGCTGCTTTAAAGGTCAATTTGCAAAACCTTCTCTGGGAAAATTTTAGGGATAAGAGTTTTGAAAAATGTCTTCTATGGAGCTGTTGGATAAATTGGTAACTTTTAATCTAGGAATTATTTTACACTTCTGCTTCAGTGATGTCTTTGTAAATAAACTGTACAAAATAGTTTAGAGCACAGAACCGTATAAAAAAGGCTTAATGAAAATTTAAAATGTGGGTGATAGCACAAGTACAAAGCTCAATTTTTAAACCTTGCTACTACTCACTATCTCAAACCTTTTCATTTCTCAGCTTATTGAGGAAATAGAAGAAATGGGTGGAATGGCCAAAGCTGTTGCTGAGGGGATCCCCAAACTTCGTATTGAAGAGTGTGCAGCCCGGAGACAAGCCAGGATTGACTCCGGTAGGAGCAGGGGGATGAAAGAAGAAAAAATTTCCAATAGAATACTTCGGTAGAAAGGTTTTTTACACACATGTTCATTGTGGTTTTTTATTTCTCAGTTTGGGGGTAGCAGATTGTGAGTGATAGGAAAAAATGGTGATGGTTTTATATTAGTGAAAGCTCTGGAAAGAGACAGTGCATACAAAATACAGCACCAGTGTGGAAAGTCTTGCTTGATATGTTCAAGATTAGATTAGACAAAGCAGTAGAAACACCATTTTAAAGGAGTGTTTGGAGCCTTCAGTAGTGAATAGCTTGATTTCTGATAAGAGCTTTAAGCTGTGATTGCTGAGTTTAAAAGCAGAAATGCCACCAGATGGCGATACTCACCATGGCTGGCCAAATTCCTGGGTTTTCTGGAGAACTGCCCTTTTTCCCTGAATGGTCAGATCATAGCAGAGGATGATACAGCTCCTTGTTTGCTATACATATGTATATGTACTCACAGAGTAAATATTTGTGGAGATATTTATACATGAGTGCTTAAAACTCTATTTCACTTTTTGTAATCTGCATTCCAGTAGTAATCTAGGAGCAGAAACTTGGGATAACTCAAACATGAAAGAAGTTATAAGGACTTCTTTGTATGGAGGATAAATTTGAAGCAGGTTTTAATTAAGATCAATAAAAAATAATCAGTAAAGTTCTGTGTTATCTCTCATAAGGTAAATTACTTCATGTTGCTTCAAGGAGCGTATTAATGTTATCAGGAACCGCAAATAAAAATAGCTGATAAGTCCATACTGATTTAAACCTAAAATAAAATTTTACAGCATGAAAAATTAATTTTAATGCACAAAGAGTAGTTTTAGGTAATAACTTCACTTTCCTATTTATCTGTTAAATCAGAAAAGTAAGTGCAGAGCAGGAGACCAGCACTTCTGCTTAGTTCTGTCAGATACACTTATGTAAGCTTAAAAAGAGAAAAACAGCCAATGTATTTTAGAGACTCATTACTAAATCAGTTTGCAAGATAAATATTGTTGTATTTCTTGTCTTTTTTCTGCTGCAGTATTCACTGAGTTGCATGTTCATGCATTTAATCTCTCATCATAAAATCTGGAAAATACTAACTTGAAGCCATTCTATAAGAGCAGATATTACATATTTGAAATGTGTATGGTTATATAAGTAAGGAAATGCATAATAATGCTGAAAATCTTCTTATCCTGTTAACATTGTGTCTTTTCAGAGTAGTTTGCAAATGTGTTTTGAGTTTCTGGTATTTCCACTAAAAATAGGGTCTGAAGTAATTGTTGGAGTGAACAAGCACCAGCTAGAGAAAGAGGAGACTGTGGAAGTTCTGGCCATTGATAACTCTGTAGTCCGTGCCAAGCAGATTGAGAAAATCAACAAGGTGGGAACATCCTTCTTAAAAATGAATCTTATTGTAATTGCAGACACAGATTGAGTAAAGGCAGCTTGCCAGAAGTTTGACTTTCCCATTTGTGAGAGTCCACTCTGGTCATTAGTGGATAAACAGGAATATAAAAACTTTAAAAACTGAGAGCTTTACATGTTCTGAAACTAAGATAGAAACCATCTATGCAATGTTTTGCTCAAAAAGCCTGTAATATTGCTTAATCACTCACTGTTGAGTGCTTTTTGTCAGGTGTTTGCTACTGAGGGTTACAGAACCAGAAGTCAACTTCCACTTTCATAATTAATGAAAATGTAGATAAAATTGGTTTAGGGTTATGTTATGGACTTGTACACATTTTAAGGTCTGAGATGCCTTTTGACTTCCAATCTCATTGAAATAGGAAGTGGATATTTACAGTTCCATATCCAGAATTAATATTTGAAATTAGACAGTCTTCCACACACGACTTCACGTTTCACTTTGTGGTTTCTTTGAACTGAATGTCTCTCTCCTGCACTTTAGGTGAAGGCCAGCAGAGACCAAGCAGCAGCCCAGCAGTCCCTGGCTGCTCTCACACAATGTGCTGCCACTGGGGAAGGCAACTTACTTGCTCTGGCAGTGGAAGCAGCACGTGCCAGGTACCAGGGGTCAAGTTGAACAGACTATTCTTGTTTAAAAATTGATGGTTCATTTTCACCCTTTAACTTTTCTTGGGTGTGATGTCAGCAAGATTGGAGTTCTGGGGCTTCTCTTTAGAGGTGGGAATAAATAATGGCTGCAGTGTCACATTGTAGGATACACTCTTATTACATTTTACAGCTTCTTAAGGCAATGCTTTGATTTCTCACATGGAACACTGCAGATATAAAGAGTCTGATATGATATGAGGCTGCTTATACACATTCTGCTGTTTACAACTCATATTCTTACCAGTTCTAGGACATAACTGGGTTTCTTTGTCACTCAGTTGTTTCATGGGTGAAGGAGTTTAAGAAGTGTCTGAGATGTGAAAATGGATATTCACAGTTTCATCATGCTCTGTTGCTTCATCTTTCTTTGCACCACAAATTGGCGTGAAAACATTTTTTGGCTGAAGGAGAAATCTTTTTGCTTAGTCAGGCAAAGTTGTAAGAAATGTTACTAAGCAGTGTGAGGAATCCTTAGAGTCCAGTGGAACAGCTTCTTTTTTCACCCAAGGTACTTTTGAGGCTGTTTTCTTTCCTGTTTCAAGGTCAGCATCAGTCTCTAGGATAGATCCTGTCTGTCGGTTTCTTAATTAACTAAATGGCCCAAATATGAGCAAATTCACTCCTTATTGGGGTGCTGCCCTGTTTTAACTGTCATGTCTCAGATTCCTTCATTCCCACTCCTAGAATACTTAATAACTGTATTTTAAATACATTGAACCACAGCCTGTCAGGAATCTCCAGTAGTATGTCTACATTTGTATTTGAACTGGGAAGGTCATAGGAGGGCAGTGATGGATTTACAAGGGATTCATATCTTCTGTACCAAAATTGACTAGTTAAGTCCTAGTTTCTCTCTTTGGTGACCTCATTTTTGTTAACTGTAAAAGCATTAATAGATAGACTGAAGATGCACTTTTGTAAGTTCCAAACACAAGACTTAATTCTGCTCCAAAACTGTATATGGGATGTGAGCACAGAAAGAAGCTGTCGTAGCATCTGGTACTGAGTGTTTGAAGGAGGACTGTGAGCTCTGGGAGCACATACAGAGAGCTTTCCTTTTGGGGGTAAGATGGGAAAAGGTTTCCAAATTAACACATTCACCCTTCACAGGCAGTAAACAAGTGGGCCAGTTTCACCAGGAGCATGATGTAATTTAAGTCACTTGGAATAAAATGAATAGTGCAGAATTGTTAGTGCTGAACTGTGGAAGAGATTTTGTGGACTAGTACAGAGATTTCAGTGCTGACAAACACGAGTAGAAAAGTAAATGTTGTTATTCTAGCCCAAGAAATAAGGCAGATGTGAAGTTACAGGGAATGAGAGTGGTACCTCCCTTCTGTGCCTCGTGTCTCCTGAGAAACCCCCTTACAGGAAAGTAGGATGGGTTATGCCAAATTCTTTCTCTCCTCCCTCACCTGCTGTGCTCTTTTTGTGTCCCTCTCTAGACTTGCAGTTCAGTGGTGGAAAGGGTAGGCAGAAATGCAGTGTAGCTGCTTGTGCTGCTTCTTTTTCTGCCCAGTCTGTGTCCTTGTGGTACTTCCTCTGCTGATTTTACACTGCTGCCTCTGCTTACTGGGGAAATGCAGAGAGGAGCAGCAGCAGCTCAGGCTCAGCTGACACAGGGTCCCAGCACTAACAGGCACATTATGGTCATTGACTTTCTCTAAATTGGTATTTAGGCTCTGTGGCTGGCTGTGAGCCACTGGGAGAGAGTCACACACAAATACAGACTGACAAAAAATGACTCTGTTAAGAAAAGAGGCTGTATTCCTGGCTCCAGATACAGCTATTCCATTGTGGATGCATATGTGGCAGAAATTAAAAAAAAAATAAAATTTATTGGTAAACAGCAAGAAAGTATTTATGAGTAGTTTAAAAGCAAAACTCCTGGTTTTACTTAAATTTGGATTTGAAGGGTTGGAGAGATTTAGGATACAATTTTCAAAACACAGGGATTTCAGAAGCAGTGTCTATAGAAGAATGAAGTGTGTTTTATTTTTGTACAGTACGCAAAAACAACTGTATCCCACCCACCAGCTTATACCTCATTTATTTTTCATTTGTAACATGAAAATTTCATTCACACTTCTACACAATAAGAGCAGAAAAGCACACCACAGCCATGGTAGGCTTTATTTAATACTGAAGTATACTCAGATACTACTGCTGCAAAAGAGGAGGAGAAAGATTTGTCTAAGCTTAGTTTTCTCTAGGAGAAAAGATGTGTTTTTTGCCACACCACACTGCCAGGAGTAAACACTCAGTGTTTGTGCATGGGGTATATTTATTTTGGGCTGCAATCTGTGATGTCTGGCACTCTGAAAAACAGTCAGTATTTATAGACAGTGTTTTCAAGTCTGCTGCAAATTTGCTTTTTAAACTTGGGGAAGTGACCATTCCTAATATACTTTTGCAGTTTACTTTTCATTCTTTGTTAGTAATTACAGAAAGCAATAATATTAATAAGATTATTTTGATGTCCTGAAATCAAAACCTGATGACACAAGTGATTAACAGTGAGTCAAACAGAATTCCAGAAATCCAGGGAAAGGGAAATGACAAAAATTGCCCAAACAGCATCAATAACACAAGGTAAAAAGTTTACAGCTACATTTGCTGAGTACGAGCCAGCGAAAGAGCAAATTAATTGAGGGGTCACAGGAAGTAAAACTTCTCTCTGAAATTTACTAAATGATTCAGCAAAGGCAGCAGAAATCCATGTCTTGTTACTTTGGGGGCATATGTGACAGATTGCACATGGTAGGAATCAGTAGCTGCTGAAAATGCAAACAGCAGAAGGAAAAGTGAGTACAGCTCATTTGGCCATCTCCTTGTAGAGGTGTGTGGACAGCAAGGTGCATCTTATCCAGTCTTTCCTGAGCATTTTATATAAAAGCTGTAGAGAATGTTTAAGTTAATTTTGCCTCAGAGTAGCTTGTAGTTAAATCATAGAATCATTTAGGTTAGAAAATTCTTTTAAGATCATTAAGTCCAGCCATTCCCCCAGCACTGTTAATCTACTGCTAACCCAGGTCCTCAAGTGCCACATCTACATAGCTTTTAAATCCCTCCAGGGATGGGAGCTCCATCACTGCCCTGGGCAGCCTGTTCTAATGCCTGACACCTGTTTCAGTGAAGAAATTTATCCAAATATCGAAGCTAAACCTCCCCTGGTGCAACCTAAGGCCATTTCCTTTTGTCCTGTCCTTGTTACGTGAGGGAAGAGACTGACCCCCATCTGGCTCCACCCTCCTTTCAGGGAGCTGTAGACAATAAATGGCAGTAATATGAAATATGAAAATATGAATCCCAGAGGTTTGAAATGTGCTAGCTTAATTAGTTATATACTTAATACTACTTTGGTGTCTGTATTTGTAAGCAGACTTTTAAAGTGGTTTAGAAGAGTAGTATTTTTTTTTTTCATTCCTAATGTTGGAGTCTGGGATACAGAGTGGGTGCCCTTGTTTCTGATACTTTGTTCTAAGATCCAGAAAAACACTGAATTTCATATAATATGAAATTCATGAGCATGTTTTCATGGTGATACATGAAAACAACTGTTAAAGTTAGATAGAAAAGCTAAAAGTGTGTGTAGATTAGAAAGTTTTCTTAAGTCACTGGGTGAAAAAGTTAGTTTAGAAAACAGGAGACAAGATGGAGGATTTAGGGTGTTGTCTCTTGTCCTTCTTCATGTTCTTCTTCTAGAGGTTTTTGGGTAATAGTAGGTGATTGGTTAGAAAATTCTGCAGTGTGGCACACAGGTGAAGGGTCATTGGGTCATTAAGAAAAATAATATACGTGTCTATTGTTAATTGGGTAAAAATAAGTATAAGGATAAAAGCACTGCATAATTCAGGGCCATTTTGTATGTCAGACACAAAGTAAGCCACAAGGCCTTGTTGTACCATCAGAAGAAAGAAATGTACCAGATTGCAAAGATTTAAGTTTGTGCAGTTAGTCTGGAGAGACCTGCCAAGTTTTGTTATGACCTTTTAATAAACACGAGAAACAAGATTCTAACGAGCTCGGCAGTTTTCTTCAGACCTAAAGAACTGAGATAAGCAGGGCTCCCCAAGAGGGAGGATCCCAAAAGAATTCAGTCCAAAGAAGACTGAGAAAGCCAGGAAGAGAAAGAAAAATATAGAAGAAATGCAGCAGAATCAGAGAAAGAGAAAAAGGATTTTTTTAGGGAAAAGTTACACCTTTGACAAAGTTCGCAGCAAGCTGTATTCAGCACCAATTTTTTTATTGCTTTGGAACAGAGATGTTTGTACAGGAATACAGCACAGCCTAGTTTGCTTCTCTAACTTGTAATACAGCAGAAGTATTTTTTCAAACATGTACAGTGTGTCCAGTAGCAAACAAAACTTGTAACTTGCATGTAAATAAATTTCCCAGATCCTTCTGCATCTCAGTGGGTAAAGGAGCTGTGTCAGGAGTAGAGGAGAAGATTAAACACTAAAATAAAGGCATCAAGGGAAAGGCAAATAAATTCCTGTTAAAATGTTATGTTTTAATCTCTTCTGTGTGTTCTTCCTTTTTTTGTCCCCTCTTGATTTATATTTTATATTTTAGCATGAATCCAAATGCAGGATCTTTCAGTCTGAGCCCCCTCCAAAAAAAATCCCCATTGAGAAAATCAGATTTAATTTTCTGAATCATTTTGCCATTCCCCATTGCCTTGCCAGTTGTAAATCCATTCTCAAATGAGCAATAAAGTATTTTCTTAAAAATGCCTTTACATGTTCCATCTGTGGGTGGCAGTGGGGTGAGTCAGACGTTCAGAGTTGCAGCACTGAAAGGGAAATCAGTGTAAGTAAATTTGTCCAGCAGCAAGGCAAGTGGTTGGGCCAGTGCCAGTTATTCTGTGTTCTGTTTTCATTTCAGCCTGCTGATAATGCAAATGTTTTCTGCCTGTGCCTCAGGTGCACCGTGGGGGAGATAACAGATGCCATGAAGAAGGTGTTTGGGGAGCACAAAGCCAGCGACCGCATGGTGAGCGGGGCCTATCGCCAGGAGTTTGGGGAGAGTGATGAAATCCTTCATGCCATCAAGAGGTGAGAACTCTTTCCAGGTAGCCAGATGTGTAATAGCCTCACATTTAATCCAGGATGTGCCCTAAAAAACCATTTCCCAAGCCTGAGTGACATCCCTGGGGAAAACAACGACCTGCAAAAGCACTCTCGTAAGCAGGGAAGTAGAATGGTAAGCATTAAGTACAATAAGACAAAGTCAAAACTTAATTGAAGTTGTATTTGCTTGCAAACAAAACTAACTAAGTTGAAGTTATGATTTGAAGGTTTTGTTCAAATAGCCTATGCAGCCACAAGATTAAGAAGCTGAGAAACATTGCCTGAAATCCTTGTACATTGGGTTGCTTTTTTTAAAGGCTATGTAATAGTCATCTCTAAAACATTTCCAGCCGTTCATGCTACAAAACCTCATCTTGATCTGCCCATAAATTGTTCCTGCAGTCTCACTCTTACTGTTGCTTAAACTGCTGCTAAAATCTGTCTGGATATCCACATACAACCTCCAGTCTTTGGGTGTTACTCATACCCCGATGGAAAAGGCATCCGGAAATGTTGTTATGTGTGAAAACAGTTGCCTCTTTGGGCTTTTTCTCAGCTTCTGCCTTTACTGCTGCCCTCAAGGGTACAGAGCCTGAATTGCTGCTGTGGGAGATGATGCAGCACAAATCGATGCTCATCAGTCCCTGCTGTGTTGGGGTTTACCCATTAAAGAGTTCAGGCTCTCCTGAAAGGGGATTACTGATGGCTTTGCAGTGGTGATGATTAGATTGACTTGAAAGTAGTTGTGCTAGGAAATGTCACCATTGTTATTTTATTCTAGCTATTTAAATTTAACTATTATAAATTATGCTTTTATGTGAAAGAGAACTGAACTAACCCCTTGAAAATCAAAATGTAGTTCCCTTTCTTACCTAGAACCACAGAATCATTTAGGTTGGAAAGGACTTATAAGATCAGCAAGTCCAGCCTGTAACCATAGACAGATCCTGGTGGTACTTGAATCGTGAGCAGTAAAATGACAGGTTAAGTCTGACAGGTTAATCTGAGGCTGTGATTACACAGTAGCATCAATACAACAGAAATATGAACTGCCACTATCCAAAATAAGAGGGGCAGCGGAATGACTGCACAGAATAGGAAATAAAATAATCCTTCCATGGACAAATTTTTTCATTCAGTGAATGATAATGTAGAATGTGATGTCCAGGACCCATCTGTGTGGAGTACTTTTGAAATAATAGGTCATAATTATTCTTGACAACTAAAAAAATGTGTTTTAGTGAGTTGTAATTCAGCTCATTAAACCCTCAGAGAATTCAGTACTTTACCTGTTAGAAAGGGAAAGAGTAGTGGAAGATTTTTTAAAATAAAGAATATTTTATTTTTGAGGCTGGTAAATACAAGAAGTGAGCTAGTAATAACATAACATGAATATTAACAAAGAGTGCAGACTGCACAGCCAAACCATGACTTGGAAAATCTTTTTATTTGATGCAATTACACTACACTTGCAGCAAGTGCTTTTTTCATGTGTGGAAATACTTCCAGCGATTCTCAGTGACTTACTCTGACAGAATGTGTGTTTTCAACAAGAGTTAACAAGTTCATGGACCGTGAGGGCCGCAGGCCTCGTATCCTCGTTGCCAAGATGGGTCAGGATGGCCACGACAGAGGAGCCAAAGTCATCGCAACCGGATTCGCAGACATCGGCTTTGACGTGGACATAGGTCCCCTCTTCCAGGTAGGACTGAGCAGCACCCAGAGCATTCCCAATGCATCCCTTCTCCCTGGAATGCGTGCTCAGCCCCCGGGCTGTGGCTGTGCCCTGTCCCACGCCCTGTTTGCTCACAGACCCCGCGGGAGGTGGCGCAGCAGGCGGTGGATGCAGACGTGCACTGTGTCGGGGTGAGCACGCTCGCCGCCGGGCACAAAACCCTGGTGCCTGAACTCATCAAGGAGCTCAATGCCCTGGACAGGCCTGACATCCTGGTCATGTGTGGAGGAGTCATCCCCCCTCAGGTATGGGCAGCATCATTTCCATCGAGCTAAGAGACTGATTTATCTCTGTTTGAGCTGTTTCCTCTGTTCTGTAGCATCAGAGCACTGAAGGCTCCTCTGTACAGTCACGAGGGCCAGCACAGATCTGCAAGGTGGGGCCCCCCAGTCTGATTTTCTGTACACCATGCCCTGGTTTAACTTAGTGTGTGTGGGATGGAAGATACAGCTGTGTTGTGAAAAGATGAGCTTCAGCAAGGTGTTCTTTATGCTCTGCTGTTTCACATCACCAGTCCTTGCATATCATTGGTACAGGCTGGCTTCTGTCTTAAGAGACTTTTTGACTACCAGCAATGGTTGGGAAGAGCCACAGCCAGTGACTAAGGCCCCTGGCAGGTCCCATCACCCATAGGCTGCACATGTCACTCGCTTTTCAGCCTCTCCTCACCTTCCCCATCATCAGGCATGTGTTACCTCTCATTCCCTCTGCTTTCTCCTAAACTGTTAAGCAGTTTGTTGAATTCCCTTGCAGTCAGATCTGTGCTTTCATCTTTAAATTTTCCTTATCTAAGGCACAATCTGCCCATCTCCATCACCTTACAACCATCCTCTGTCTATAGTGATCCAAACAGATTTTGCACATAAATTCCCTGTTATTCCCTTTTCCCACACCTCTCCCTTTTCTAGGCAGTTAAGTAGTTATTTGGGAAGGGCAGAATTCTAAACTGAACAAACAAAACTCATAGTATTTTTCTAGGAGACAATTTGTGTTCTCTCCAGTATCTCTCAATGGGATGTTACTACACTATGGTTGGTAAAGGTGTAATATATCCTATACAGAAGAAAAAATACAGAACTGCTTCCCAAGACTTCTTGAAATTTCAGGACAGTCATAAAATTAGATTAACTCTAGATTGCAAGAGACCACTGGCAGTCATCTGTCCCAAGCCCTTGTTTAAAGTAGTATTTTCAAAATAAGAAGTTAGATCAAATTTAGATTAGGTTATTGAGACTCATATGAAGTAGACTTTTGAATACTTTCCAAGGATTGCCATTAGTCTGATTCTAAAGAAATAAACTATTTCCTATGGATACCTTTTAGTATTTTTTTCTGCCTTCTAACTTTCCACCCTTTTCCCATTTCCTGGAAGCTGTGCTGCCACTCTGGGACTTACTGCTTTCTCAGGCCCAGCATAGAGGACAGAGCATGTACCAGTTATAAATCAATTATCCATTTTCTTTTTCACTATTAACTGTAGATTTTAAATCTCTTTTCCAACAGGATTATGACTTCCTGTATGAAGCTGGTGTTGCCAATGTGTTCGGTCCAGGCACTCGTATTCCAAAAGCAGCTGTGCAAGTATTGGATGATATTGAGAAGTGCCTGGAGAAGAGACAGCAATCCATGTAACTCTGAAATGTCACAATCAGCCTTACACTGACCACTTGATTGTCAGCAAGGGATGGCCAGCCACAAACCTCTGCTCCCACTGCCCCCTGGCCTCGTGTTTTGTGCTTTCTAAGAAAGTTCTAAACTCTCTGCGTGTTCTATTTGAAGATTATTCATATAGATACCCACAAGATAATTTTATCTCTAGAGCTATGACTTCAGGAAGTGAAGAGAATTCAAAATAAGTGTGTTTGGGGTTTTTTTTTCCAGATATACTGATAAATAAAATAACTGCTGCAGCTCTTTTTTGCCTCATCTCTCTTGCATGCAGAGAACTTGTTTTGAACTTTTTTGGCAGTTATAGTAGACCAAGAAGTCTTCATGCAGCATCACTCATTCAGCAGAGATGGGATTGAATCCAACAGCACTTTGATTTGAGCAGTGGTGGCTTCCCAGGGAAGGGCAGTGATGGGGACAGAGCACAGTGCACAGCTGCTCTTACACAGGCTACTGCCATGTACAGCATTTGTATCTTATTAAGCCATGAAATTCAAAACTTATGGTTTATCTACCTATAGATTTTATAAAGAGTTACACTGTGGCTGCCCCATCCCTGGAAGTGTTCAAGGCCAGGTTAGATGGTGCTTGGAGCAGCCTGGGATAGTGGACAGGGGTTGGAACAAGATGATCTTTCAGGTCCCTTCCAACCCAAACCACTCTGTGATTCTGTGTTTCCGTGATTCTGTGAAGCTGTTCGTCAAACAACTTGTGTTTTACATTCATGAGCAGCAAAACTGTCTCAGCTATGTGGATGAGAAAAGAACCCAAGACAAAGTTTAAGTTGCACAGTGTTGCTGGCAAAGTAATGGGGTGGAATCCAAGTCTTTGCAGTGTTATCCTCATGCTCTAACTTCTGGATAATGACCTCTCTCAAATAATTGATCTTTGTTCTGAAGTGAATCACAATTAATTTTACAGATGGAAAATTGAACATTAACAGAAATTTTCTATAAAAGTTCTGTAAGTTATTCCTATGCCTCAATAGCCAGGGACTGCCTAGAAGATTTTTCAAAGCAAGGCATTGAATTCCAACTTATTTTAATACAAATCAGAGTTTTAGTTTTATTATCTAACTTTATATGTCATCATCTGGATAGGGAGCTCCATTTAATTTCAGTGGAAAGAAAGAAGCCAAAGGTGGCTGGCTGAGGTTGAGTGTTGCATTGTAAACCTCCTCAGAGTGGTGAGAAAACTCCTAATATGTGAGAGGTCAGATCTGTTGGAATTTTTAATTATTTTTTTTTTTGTATTGAGGTGGTTGCACTGGTGATTGCAAACATGAGGTGCCCAGACTCACTCCTGAACTCAGTGCTTGCATCCTGCTTCCATCTCTGAAAAGACAGCACAGTCCAGGGCTGGGTAGGAAATAACCATGGAATTATAATTTGACCATAAATTACCTTCTCAAAACTTAAGAAAACAACCAAACAAACCTGGTGTTACAGTTGTACTGAATCAGCAAGCTGTTCTCAGTTGCAGTCATGTCTGTGCCCTAGCCAGGGGGGAATTTGGGATCTCAGGAGCTCCCATGGAAGCCGTTAGAGCCAGGACTGCATCTGCAGGGTGACACTGCTGGGAATGCCTTTGTCATGCTATGCAGAGAGCAGCTGCAGAGAAAGGGTAAAGCACTTCAACAGGCTGCCCAGGGAAGTGATGGAGTCACCAGCCCTCAAAGTGTTATGAAAATACGTGGATGTAGCATTTGGCACAGTTTAGTGGTGAGCATGGCGATGGGTTGATGGCTGGACACGATTTTAAAGGTCTTTTCCAACCTTAGCAATTCTGATCCTAAAGTGCTCCAGCAGCTTCCGTGGCAGAAGAGCTGTTGTACCTCAGCCAGCAACAGCTGAAGGACACAGTTCCTCCTGCTGGGAGCTTCCTTCCCTTCCCACTGTGCCATTTGGGATACACAGAAGGCATCCTTCACTGACTGCCACGTTCCTGCCAAACCTCATCCGACCAAGGCTGCTCACCTCTTTGGTCTTGTGCTTGGAGGAGCTGGAGCTGCAGCTCTGAAAGAGCAAGGATCCAGAGATCTCCATATCATTTTGGGAGCAGCCACATTTTCACCTTTTCCTGGCATTTTCACTATTTCCTGGAATTTCTTGCTCCTCATATGGTTTTCAGTCTGTATTGCTGGAAAACTACATGCTCAGCTGTGTTTATTTTGTAACTGTGTGCAACCTTTTCTCTGATGGCTGTTTTACTGGTAGAGCCAAAAGCTGGCAGATAGATGGCATTAAAAAAATCAAAAGTATAGGGAAAAAAATCAACAAAAATAATAAATGTCTGTTTACCTGAAAATAAGTTTAATTTACATGATTTTATGTTTCATACATAAATCTATTTCCCCTAAACTGGAATTCCTTGGGAAAAAAAAATAGTTGGTTTTTTTTTAATTATTCCTGTGAGGCTTAAAGACAATATTTGAGAGTTGCTTAAAAATATATACTTAAACCTCTGTACTGACATAAGATATGCAGTGACAGCCTCGCTTGCTGCATCCCCGCTCCTTTGGAGCTGGCAGCGAGGCCGGGTTTGAGCTGTGCTGTGACCCCATGGCTGCATTTCAGGGAGCTGCAGCTCCCAGGTTCTCCACCTTGGCCGCCGCAGACAGACGGACGTTGTCCCTCCCGCTCCACACGGTGGACACGGCGTTCTCCGCCGAGTTGTCGGAGCTGAAGTAGTGAACCCTCCAGCCACAGCAGCACCGCAGCTTCTTAACCTCGCAGCGGAAAGTCTTGCTGAAGACGTAGTAAATGAAAGGGTTGTAGGCCGTGGAGGACTTGGCAAACAGGCAGGGCAGCAGCGTCACCACGGGCTGCAGGGAGTCGCTGGAGTTGAAGATGGACCAGAAGCTGGCGGCTGCATAGGGAGTCCAGGAGCTCAGGAACGCCACTGAGATGAGCACGGCCATCTGCAAGGGAACAGAGCTGCTTGCAGCAGCACAGACAGGGCTGGACAGCCTGGCACACGCGGTATGTGTGTGTGGGACCACACCTGAACTGCAACACCCAAACCTGTGCTTGCTGGGCCCTCATGACAAGAGAGACATTGAGGGGCTGGAGCCTGTCCAGAGAAGGGAACTGAGCTGGGAAAGGGTCTGGAGCACAGCTCTGATGAGGAGCAGCTGAGGGAGCTGGGGGTCTCAGCCTGGAGAAAAGGAGGAGCTTATCATTCTCTACAACTCCCTGGAGGGTAGAGGGAGCTCTGCTCCCAGGTAAAAAATGAAAGGACAGGAGGAAATGCCTTCAGGTTTCACATGGGGATTTAGATTGGATATTATCACAGGTGGGGTTGTCAGTCATTGGGACAGACTGCCCAGGGCAGTGATGGAGTCACTGTCATTAGCTATATTAACAAACATGTGTTGCTGTGGTGCTTAGGGGCATGGTTAAGTGTTTGACCGGTCAGTGCTGAATTAATGGTTGGACCTGATGATCTTGGAGACCTTTTCCAACCTTAATGATTCAGTGATTCTATGATTTGCCTCTAGAAAGCTTGGATCAATTCTGCTTTTCCACAAGAAATGCACAACTAAAGTGCAAATTTGGGTAAAAAAATATATTAATACTTAAAATATTAAAATCCTATTTCCATACAGAATTTCTGTGTAGGTTTCTGTAATTCCATGATTCTGTGAGCTATGCAGGAGCAGAGCCAGCTCTCTGCCAGCTCCTGATTACTGCACACTCTTCCCATCACAGGGATAACTCACCAGGGTGAGCTTCTTCTCCAGTTTGGCTGCATTAGGGATCCTGTCAATATTCTGGATCTCTTGGTATGCTTTATGAACCTTCCAGGCAATCCCCAAGTAACAGGCCACGATGGTCAGTGCAGGCAGGACGGTGCACAAGAGGAACATGCTCAGGATGAAGGAGAAACCATTGGAGGAGTTGTGGAACTTGCTCCAGGCTATTGTACAAGAGATACCAAAGGGCTCAGGGCCGTAGTAGCCCCAGCCCACCAAGGGCAGGATGGCCCAGAGCAAGGAGTAGAGCCAGATAAAAGCAATCAGGATGCAGACAGTGTTCCTGGTGATTTTGTTACCTGCAAGAAAGAGGAAGAGTGTATGGATCCCATCCCAGCCACATGGGGTTTGCCATAACTTCTCCTTAGACAGAAGGATGGTGGCTACAGATTCACCTGGGCTGCTCTGCAGGCCCCTAACCTTTGGGCTTCTAGAGAAACAGAGTGTCAGAGGACTGGATGAGACCTGAACACAACCCCCAGTGCTCATCTAGAGCTTAGTTAATCAGGGAGGATTGCAAGATCAATTTCACCTTGAACATGCTGTGGTCCCAGCCCAGGAATGCCAGAATATTCCTTTCTTTTAAATTCCAGTGTATCTGCTTGGATACAAATAGGAAAGGAAGGCAGTCTGGTCTGGGAAAATGTTTGTGCTCTCCATTCTCAGGTAGTTTCACGTGGTAAAACTGAGAAGTGAAAAACCCCACTGCTTCATACAGAATTTAATCAGATCCTTCTGGGAACACCAGGATTTGATATTGCACTTTGAAAAGTTGAGGCTTATTATGCTGTTACTGACCTGATATTCCACTCCACATTCCACAAAGCACCTCCCAGAGCAGCCCAGCCCAAACACAGCACCACCAGGTGACCAGACGGGCAATTTACTCACTGTTGGATTTGGATGAGTTGGTGACGAGGAATCGAATCACGGCCATGGCACACAGGGTCATCATGCTGCAGACCCCAAAGAGGAAACCCATCAGGGCATAGTAAACACAGGAGGCATCTCCCCCCAGCCAGGCGTGGTTCCAGGCGGATGCAATGGCCAGTGGGTACATGCTGAGGGCCATCCCAAGGTCTGCCACTGCCAGGTTCACTGTCAGCAGCTCTGGAGACTTCAGCAGGGAGAAGCGTTTCACAGCCGTGGCAAGGACGGCTGAATTCCCAAGGATTGTCAGGATGGCTGAAGGGGAAGGATCAGCACAGACAAGAATAGCACACAGTTAACACAGCTGTGAAATCCACTGGGAGTGTGTGAAGTGCCTGAGAGGGGCTACAATAGAGCTGAGGAGGGACTTCTTTCAAGATTGTGTAGTGATAAGGGGGAATGGCTTTAAACTGAAAGAGAGAATTAGATTTGATATTAGGTGTACTTCCCTGTGAGGGTGGTGAGGCTCTGGCACAGGGTGCCCAGAGAAGCTGTGGCTGCCCCATCCCTGGAAGTGTCCAAGGCCAGGTTGGATGGGGCTTGGAGCAACCTGGGAGAGTAGAAGATGTCCCTGCCCATGGCAGGGTTTGGAATATCCTGTCACTGTCTGCCAGTGTGAAAAGTCACTTTCTGTCTTTTTTATGAGCCCTCTTTAAGTAGTGTAAGGCCACAATGAGGTGTCTCTGTAGCCTTTTCAGAGAGAACCCCCAGCTCTCCCAGCCTGTCTCCAGAGTGAAGGCACTCCAGCCCTCAGAGCATCTTTGTGGCCTCCTCTGAACCCACTCTAGCAGGTCCACGTTTTTCTTGCACTGAGAAAGAATATCCTAATTTCTCCTTCCTGCTGAAGTACTCCAGCCATTCTGCCCACCTGTCCCCAGCACTTCCCAAAGCCTTCCCCCTGACTTCCCTTATCATCAGCTGGAGCCCCAGCACTGGGCTGTGAGCTGCCTGGGTGGTGGGCATGTGCTGGCTGGGCAGCTCAGAGTCCTTGCTGATCCCTGAGAATCAGCATGACTGTTCTGGTGGTCTCTGAAAGGAGTGGAGTTGTTTAGCCAGGGGCATGCAACACACCCAGAGCTTGCTTTGCAAAAGGAGCTGTCAGACATACATTATTCAGGTGTGCCACAGGGCTTCAAAGCGCTGGTGACAGCAGTGTCAGAAGTACATGCACCAAACAACTCATTTTCTCTCTTCTTTCAAGTGAACATGGTGCTGTAGCAACATCTTGATGACAGGTTTTCCTGAAAAGGTGTCCTCTAAAGTCAGACGTGAAAGAGGGAGACAGAAAAAGATTCTGTCATGTTTCCTTGTGGCTGTGAATGCAGGAAAGGCTGTGTTTGCTCACAGGTGCCACTTAAAGTGCCCACAGAGGACTTAATAGAGGCACATGCAATAAAAGGGAATAAATGTATTGGTGTTGGTACAAAAAACCTCAGAGGTGTCAAGAGGAAGGCTTAACTGGAATGGGGACACAAATCTGGGACCCCATGTCCCTCTTCATTCACTTCCTGACCACAGACGTTCACCTCTGGCTGCCCTTGAAGGGTTCCCTGGGCTCTCAGGATCTCAGTGGCTGCACACACAGGATGATGCCCACGGGGGCTTGGACACTTGCTGACAGAGAAAGCTGCAGCTCAGTGGGCAGAGCACTCTCCACAGGGACACAGAATCGTGCAACTTGAGGCCATTTCTTCTAATCCTATTTCTTGTTATCTGGGAGCAGAGCCTGGACCCCCTGGCTGCCCTGTCAGGGAGTTGTGCAGAGACAGAAGGTCCCCCCTGAGCCTCCTTTTCTCCAGGCTGAGCCCCTTCCCCAGCTCCCTCAGCTGCTCCTGGTGCTCCAGCCCCTTCCCCAGATCCATTCCCCTCTCAGGAGTCACTCCAGCCCCTCATTCTGTTTCTCGCAGTGACAGTCCCAAAATGGAACATCCTCAGGTTTCAGGAGGAAAAATGAACCCAGTTCACTTTCTTCTGTAAAAGCCCAACCCTTACTCAAATGCAGGAAGCAGCTCAGACCTCATCAGAGGTGAGATCCAGACCCAGCCTCTCTTTTACCTTGGCAGAAGCTCTTCCCCTCCATCCCACAGCCTGTGGGCTGCTGGCTGGCACAGGACAGAACTACAACTGTGGAATTGTAACAAACAGCTGGTGGTGACTGCTGCTGCCCATGCCCTGGCCTTGTTCCTAAACAAAAACATCATTTCAGGGCACAAACGTGCAGCCCCAGTGAGGTGGCAAAGCTATGGATAAATACACCACCTGTTTCCCGTTCAGCTCACTGCTTTATTTCTGAGTCCCCACAGGATGCAGTGAACCTGCCTGCCACACAGGGCTCCTGCCACACAGGGCTCTGGATCCGGTGCTGGAAGCTGTGCCTGGAGTTTTCAGTGCCTCAAAGTCCTTTAGAAGAGATGTGAGACTGCAGCATGGTGGAACAAGAACAGGAGGAGCTCCAGCTCTTTTTTGCTGTCCCTTCCCATTGCTTTAACTGCATCTATGTATTTACATTTCTGAGAGAAGGGAACCGGCATCCTGACTGGAAAAAGCCCTTCATTGTTTTCTAAATGGGGATTTTCTCACCCTGAGTTGTGCTCTGCTGTGTGAAACAAGAGGAAATAAGAAGTGCTAAAGTCCAGCACTTCTACCCTAGACCCTCAGTATTAAAGCAAATGAAAATTAGGCTTGACTTTCTTATGTAAACCAGAATTTTCAAGGGAGCTGAAGGAAGGAATCTTAGGAAAAATTCAGGTGGAAAGCATGCCTAAACAAGTTACACTCCTCTCCAAATCCACAAAAACAAATCCAAGAAGCAGGCAAGAAATAAAACACCTAACTGAAGCCATGGGCTGGTAGCCATCCCCACTTGTATTCAATTTTCAATCTGCCTGCAGCAGGGCAAACAGGCTGCTGCAAAACCCAGAACTGCTATTTGGAAACACTCTGATGTTCTGTAGCAGTTCATCCTACAAAGACACGGCAGAGTGACACTTCCCCCACCAAGGGTCAGCCCACAGCTGCTTTCCCTGACCAGTCCCATGGATTGAGCTGCCCTGGTTCAGTTCTCAGGGCTGAGATGCCATGGAAAGTGACAGACAACTTATTTTGAATATTTGTGATGCCACAGAGGTAAATTTGTGCTGGCCATTCATCAGCATCAAAACAAGATTTCAAATCCAAGCATGGAGATTAATCCTGGCTGCAAACCAGCTCCAAGGCACTAAGCAGAGGAACCTGTGGGGAAACACTTGCTGACATTTCCCTCCAGGTTCTTCTGCCTGACCTGTTCCCTGGCTCCAAGCAAACAGGCTGTGCACTCACCTATGATTAGAAGAAAGACCCCAGCTCCATAATCCACTACTGGGTGGAGTTTGGAAATGTACTGCTCCTCCATGGTGCCTTGTGGAGGTGAGTGAAGGTTTTTAATCAAAGGTGAAGACGCTGCAGGTGCAAGGAGCTCGTCCTCATGGTTTGCCTGCTGCAGGTGAGAGCTGGTGTTGGGTGCTGGCAGTGCAGGGACCCTTCTGCTGCCTCCTTGTCCTGCCTCTGGTGTGGCAGGGGAGAAGCCTGGAGTGAGAGGAAGGCTTTCCCCCTGGGAGGCAGAGTGAAAGCCAGGCAGAGCTGCTGCCAGAGCAATCCCGCCTGCCTGGCTGGCAGAGCATCTCTCCTCCCACCCCTCCTCTCCCACCCTTCTGCTCCTTGGCTTGTCGGGAAAATTCACAACACAAATCCCCTCAGATGAGCAAAACCAATTGTTCTTCAACCATCAGCAGCCCTGGGAAATAAAGCCAGGCTGAGTGGGCAGGAAAGGAAGGAAGGTTGGGAGTTCTGTTTTCCAGCTTTATGGCTGAGTTTGGGAGCCACAAGGCTGGGGCAGGGCTCTCTGAGTTGAAGTGTTAGAGGAAAGGTGTCTGCTGCAAGGGCTCAGCAGGGTCAAAGTCACACCACTGAAGACAGGACAGTCTGAGCTGCTCCAGTGGATGCCAGTGGATGCATCTAGAGGATGCTCCAGTCCAGTGTAGTGAGAGAACCAACCTCTGAGGTAATTTTGTGACTCTCCAGAGCTCTGACGTGGCAAGCAGCCACAGGAACACCTTGCCCCTGTGATTTCCTTCTCCTTAAAATATACGAGCCTAAAATCACCATAATGAACAACCTGGTTTAGTGGGTGGCATCCCTGCCCATGGCAGGGGGCTGGAACTAGATGGTCTTTATGGTCCCTTCCAGCCCAAACCATTCTGTGATTCTGTGATAAGGAATTCTAAAATTCACAAGAGCATGGAGGCATCTCAAGTGTGATTTAGGTGGAATTTAGGTGCATCTAGCAGAGCAGTAACAGCCTAAATTTAGAAATCTGGGAGACTTTAAAAGCCTTTAGTTTCAGGAGGCTTTTGTATATCTCCAAGCATGGAGATTCCACAATAGTTGTTCCTTTTTGTTCAAAGTTTCACACAGTTCTGAGATAAAGACACCACCCAACTACTGACATCCAGCAGCTGCTCATGAGCTGCTCAGTGCAGGTGTCCTTCACTGAACCTCCCTCAGCTGAGGAGATCCAGCTGAATGAATGTGGGTGGTTGTTGAGATGCTCTCCAGCCAGGGGTGTATAGGCAAGACTCAGCATAGGAAGGTAGTATATATATAGTGTTAGGAAGTTCTTTTACCAGGACGGAATAAAACAGGGAAGAGGTGATGTCTCAAAAACATGCCCACTGCTGAGAGTTTCAAACAGCTTGGTCAATTCAGTGTAGCCTGTGGGAGAAAGAGAGGTTACTGTTTGATAGCATTCTGGGGGAGTGTCCAGGTTCTGGCCAGGACAGGGTTAATTTTGCAGTAGCCAGGAGGGGCATGGCCAGGACCTGGAGGGGATTCTATGGCACCTGGGCAGAACAAGGACAGGGAGAAATGTCTGCTAGAGTAGCCACAGCCACAGATCCTGTGGCAGAAAGTAGAAAATGGCCACATTCTGACAGTATGACAGTCTGTAAAACTGACAATATGACAATCCAGTACACAAAACCATTGTATTGGTTTACAATCAAACAGTGCCAGATCACCACAAAGAGGCTGGAATCTGACTGCTCACCTTGCTAAATTCACAGAACAGCTCCTGGCACTGTCTTGGGCTGGGCCAGCTGGCACTGTCCAGGCACAGGTTGGCTAAAACAAGCCCAGGATTGTTCCCAGCAAGAAGTAACCTCATCAGCTTTGAAAACAGTGTTTTTTTCCCTGGTACAGATGTTGCCCAAAGGTTTTGCTCTTATCCTGAGTGTAAACATTTAGATCCTCAAGGTGCAACCACTGGATGAGGATAGACTGTTTTAAAGTTCTCAAATAGAGTTTTTATTCTGATAAAACCCTTACTTGATCGAATTCCTGGCCTGTGCTCTGCAGACATCTCACCTAATGTTTCTTTTTGGTCTTTCTTGGTCAAACCACGGCAGTGGGCTCAGTTCAAGGAGCCTGATGTCACCCAGTCCCAGCCAGATCTCCTGCTTTCCCACTTGTTTCATGGTCCATCCCCTCCCTACTGAAATAAAACACTGCCTTTCTTCAGGCAAGCAAGGAGACCGAGGACAAGATTAAAACATTTTGCTGAGAATTTAATTGGTAATTATTATTTAATTACTGGAGACTCCACTGGCTACATCAGGAGCCCGGTCCTCTGCCAGCTCTTTTGGGTACCTTAGTTTACACTGTGTGGCTCTTTCATGCTGGTTTAGATGGCATCTCATTTATTGTGAAACCCTCAACTTAGCATTCACATGGGGTAGGATTACATCAACAGTCCAGTTACGAAATGGAAGAAAAGAAAATGAATGATTAAAAGCAGAAGAGCTGACGGATCCCAAACCCAGTGCATTATTCATGTGTTGTTTAACAATAGCAAGTTGTGCTCATCACCGTCTTCCTGCACATCAGATCAAGCCATATGATCTGTTCACAACAGCCCAAGTTTATACATCTTGACAGACCCAGATTTGGGGGAATCATATTTTAGAATTGCTTTGTGAAACTTACTTTCAATTTCATAAAGTAGTCATGAAGTGAGGCAGACGGAAGGATGAAGTTGATACCTACTCATTTCTGAAAGGTTATATGAAACTTCAAGCAAAAAAATGAACTCACCGTGAAACTATTATATGTATTTGATGTAAATATGGACATATCTAGAAAACAAGTTCCCCCTGTTGGCAGGAAACAGGATATGAGTTTTGATGTACCCAGTGAGAATGTCCTACAACTTCATTTTTACTTTCCACAGGGAGAAAAAATAAAGAACATTCTGAATCTGTAGGAACAAGGGAATTTCTCTGAATAACCAGTATGCCACTATGTAGTGGTTTATTTTGAGAGGTAAAATGTCTCAGTGTTTGGAGCTGTGTGGACATGAATACTGGGTTGTGTTTGGTACCATATATCAAAATCACTGATATTTCCTGATATGTGGGGAGGGCTGTGAATCGGGGTCCTTATCAGAAATGTCTACCAAAAATAATCATGCATAATTTGGAAGAGGACATGACTTTGTTATTCCTGTTTCTGTCTGGCTGCTGTGTCCAGATCTTCTCTTTGCAAAGACTCTGAGATCTCAAGTGAGCAGAGTGTGTGCAGACAGTCTGTGGGGACAGTCCCTTTTCAGTGCCCTCTCCTTGCTGCAAAACACATCTGCCATGATGCACAACTCAGCCTTTTTGATTAAGAAATAACACCTTTTCCACACTCCTTGGAGGAGACGACTTCATCATATTCTCCAGGAATTACTACAACTTCCATCCTTTTAAATATTTGCTTATTTCTGCAGTTTTACTTTTGGAAGTTCATCTTTGAGCTGAGACCTCTAGCTGAGCTTCTCTAGCTTTCACCTCTATTTATGAAAACCAGAGCCAGCATTTAAGTGGAATTCTCAGAGTCTCTTCATGGAGTTGTATGTTTTCAACAACTAAGTCTTGTTTAAGCTGGTATTTGCAACCTCAAGCATAGTAATTTTTAAATTGTTTTCTTCTGGCTTCCTGCACTGACTTGCATGTTATTGCCTGAGGGGTTATTTACAAAGTTTTAATTCAGTCTAGGGACACTAAACTCCCTAACTTCCCTCATCAGGAACTGACACATCCAGTTGGATCAATACATTTTGCTCTTTCACTACAACTAGTTTAATCAATAATATTTATGTGTGGGTTAACCCAGCCCAAGAGTAACTTGGGTCACAACAACCCCTTCAGTGCTGCAGACTGGGGGAAGAGTGGCTGGAAAACTGGAAAAGGACCTGGGGATGCTGATGACAGCAGCTGAACATGATCCAGCTGTGCCCAGGTGACCAAGGTGACCAGTGGCACCTGGGCTGTACCAGCCACTGCAGGGCCAGGACAGTGACCATCCCCTGTGCTGGGCATGGCTGAGACCACACCTCAAATTCTGGGTGAAGTTCTGGGCCCCTCAGGACAAAAAAAAGACATTGAGAGGCTGGAGTGAGTCCAGGGAAGAGCAATGGAGCTGGGGAAAGGTTGTGGAACTGAAGCCAGAAACTCACATTTATTAAACAAAGTCATTATTTGTTGTAACCATGATATTCATGCTGCACTGGTGAAAAAAATACCAGGTTCACAGTGAGGAAAGTCACACGTGGAGTAAAGATGTCTCTGACGTGACAAATCAGCTCTTTTCAACTGGGCAATAGGCTGCCCTCTCAGGGACAATCTTTTTCTTTCCCCAGTGAAAGATAATATGCAATGAAAGGCTCTAATTTGAGAAAACAAGACAAAGGAGGAACACAGCAGGAGGTGGAAAGGAGAGAGTGGAATGAGATATGAAAAGGTTAATTCAACATTCAAGTATGAAACATGCTACAGCTGTTTCAGGGGTGTGAGGAGACAGTCTAATACGCTAAAAGTGGAAAGAAAATTGCACCATAGGTGCTAAAGTAAAATGAAAGCTACTATTGTGTCAAGAAAAGAGAAGAATAAAATGTATTGCCCATGTAGTGGAATTTGACATTGCAAACCTGCTCAGATTTAACATGGTGACCATGTTCCCAGATCTCAGTTTAACAGTGGTATGAACAGCAATAACTCTCATTTTCAAGGGCTCAAAGACAAACCCATGCTCTGTTATGCTGGATATTGCACAAAAGAACACAGGAACACTTTCTTACGGGTTTTTTTTTCAACCATTTATTGACATGTTGGTTTTTGGTAGCAAGCTCCACTGACTTTTCCTTTGCATTTTGGTCCTGCACTCCATTTATTCACAATTCCTTTGTGTCGTTTAGACAATGGGAAAAAAGCCCACGATTTGTAGAATGGAGCACCTGGGACTCAGGCTCCACAGAAATATTGCTGTGCAGCAACTCTGTCTCATCATCCTCTGCACAGCTCTAAAGCACATCTCTGGGCAAGCATGAGTGCGGCTACAGAGAGAAGTGACCAGGGAAGCAACACATTCCAGCCACTCTACCCTCTAAAAAGCCAGGTTTGACAGATTAAACCATTTAAGACTCTCCAGTTTTGTGTTACTGTAGCATGATGGCAACAAGGACTTGATTGTCTGTAATCCTAAAATCAGAAGTGCTCTGGAAGCAGCAAAACAGCAAATAGGACTGGGA